TCTCTGTCCCAAAAATAAATAAACGTTGAAAAAAAAAAATAAAAAAAAAATAAAAAAATAAAAAAAAAAGGAAAGAAAATGAGGCCGAAGTCACGCAACTAGGAAGTGGTAAAGCTGGAACACAGATCTCAGTCAGTCTTTTTCCAGAGCTCATGTTCTTTCCACTATAATGTATTGTGTCCCTCAGTCTCAGGAATTGTTTATGGTTCCTAGATGACATACTTGGCCTCCAACATATATACTGCCAATTTCCAGAAAGGGAAAGCACTTTCATCCTGACGTGTATTGCCATTTTTATATTAGAAAAGTTGACAAGCACTAGATAGTTCCTTTGCTTTTACTTAGTTGTTTGTGCTGCTAAAGGAATAATTGATAAATAATAACTGACAGAAGAATCAATATGGTGTTCTTAGCTTTCTCTCTTCGCAAAAGAGAGCTTTTATTTTCTTTGATACTATTATCCCTAACCCATTCCCTTCCCTGGGCATGGGATCTCTTCTAGGTGGTGATAGAAGCATCTACTAATTGTTTTGTTTTTTCATTCAGAAAGCATTTATGATATACACCCCTGATCAAAGATCCTAGGGGAAATTCCAAGGAACAGGATATCTACCTCTAAGAATTTGTATTCTTTAAAAAAAAAAAAAAAAAAAAAAAACTTTGAGGGAAAATTATATAACGAATTGATACCTATAAGAAAATAAACTATACAAAAAAGGACAAGGAGACACAGATAAATACGATTGCAGAAGAGAAATAGTTGCAGCTGGTAATCATTTAGTTCTTATCAGAGTCCAGCTGTGCTAAAAATCATCAGGAAGCAGAGCCCACTCTTAGATTCAGAAGTAATAAAGACCTACATCATGTGGTGTGAAAACTGTGGCGTGGGAGGTCTTAGCCTGTTCTTAGATCAATCCATGAGGCCAAGCACAAGTGAGTAATAATAATAAAAATAACTTGAACTTCTCACCCATAACATAGTTGTTTAATCTGACTCTGAAGAAATACTTGCAGACGTTCATCAAGTAATTTATCTTTCCTTCTTCCATGGTTTGCATCATATAAACTATTGAATTATTATGTACTCTTCTACTTAGTAGCTTAGGTCATTATTAGAGGTCCTAGAGTTGTATCAGCCTCAGGTTGATGACCACATGTGCAGTCTGTTTCTAATGCTGTTTTTTCATAGCAAGCCAAACAAGTTGGTAGGTGCTAGACATTTCCTAGGCTTTTATACTGAATCCCTTACTTTCATCTTCCCATTCAGGTTCTCTTGTAGCCATTTCACAATCATTGTCAACATTTATTAAACTTACCTAGATGTAGGTCATTGGAATGCTGGGCCAAGGAGGGGTGTTCATTGTTTTTAAGGAACAAACTCATCTGTTTAGTGAAGTTTTGTTTCCTTTTGTAAAAGATCGCAACAAATATGATTTGATTCTAGACGTGTCTAACATTTTTAGTTTTAGATTGTTGCAGATCTTATAAACAACTATTTGGTCTATGTAAAGATGTTTTAGAACCTATACTGCTAATTAGAAAACTGTTTCGTAGCACTGTCTTTTAAAAATGTTAGCATATTGTAATTGAATTTAAAAATGTTAGCATATTGTAATTGAATTTAATTGTTTAGGCCCAGCCCTGATTGTAGGCACAGTCCTGCAGTGAGGAAAGTTGGTCTTCTTTCCAGCTGTACTCACTGTGAATAGCAGAGCTCTTGTCTTCTCTCTGTATCCTGACTTGGGAGGCTGTGTGACTCCTCTCATTATGGTATATTCTCAGGCCATGTTTTTTGTATGTCATTAAACATCAGTAGGTTGATCAGGTAGTGTGGTAGATACGGTTGTCATCTGCCCTGATAATCTTTTTCTTCTTTTCAACTGTCAGAAAAACTTCCATCATAATTTTTTTTTTTTTTTTTTTTGCATTTTTCTACCTCAACCTTCCTGACCTCCTTGTTTAGTTTAATTGTGAAAATAGGTATTCTCACTTAAGGAAACGACCGGTATTTTTTCCCTACAATGTTTTAGACAAAGTCTTTATATAAAAATGATTACGTATAAGAATAAAACTCTGTACTAGCTATTTTTGTCTTGCTCTTACTATATCACCTTAAAAGTCCACTTTTCTCTGGTTATTCACAAAACTGACTTATTTTTTTTGTCTTATGTTTCAACAGAAGGAGAATATGTTAAAATGTTTATGCGAGGTCGGCCAATTACAATGTTCATTCCTTCTGATGTTGAAAACTATGACGACATCAGAACAGAACTGCCTCCTGAGAAGCTGAAACTGGAGTGGGTGTATCCTCTACTGTGACAGCAAATGTGTTCACTTTGTCTTCAGTTTAAGAAAAATTAGTTTACCTAACCTCTGTCAAAATTGTTGTTGTACGACGGGGGCCCCAGTGACTTACTTGATTGAGTGTTCAACTCTTGATTTCAGCTCAGGTGTTGATCTCATCATTCGTGAGATTAACCCTGCATCAGGCTCTGCGCTGACAGCGCAGCATCTGCTTGGGTTCTCACTCTCTCCCTGCAGCTCCTCCGCTCGTGTTCACAGGCACACACACCTGCTCTCTCGAATAATTAAACTATTAAAAAAATTCTCTTTATACAAGAAAAGTGTGATGAGGATAGCAACCACTTGAGAAAGTAAAAAATTGTTACCTCTCATCCTCCACATATTACGTGTATTTTGCCAATAGCAACTTAAAACCACCCAAATTATAATAATTTTGGATAGGGCAAACAGTGTTCTACGAACATCATGGTAGGTATTTGCGATGTGGTAGAGAAGACATTGGAATGGAATTAGAAGAATCAGCCCCACCAGCCCCAGTGAACCTTACTTCACTTACAAGTTAATAACTCCTACTTCACTGAGCTTTTGTAAGAATTAAATAAGAAAACATCAGTTAAGCATTTTGTAACCTGTGAAATAATGTAAATTATTTTATATAAAGACATCAAATTAACAAGGTGATTCTAATTCCAGAATTAACCTGTCAGCCAGACTTGGTAAAAAATGACTATATAAAAGAGCTCTCTTAATTTCCCTTAGAAATTTTTCTCTCGGAACCTTTGAGAAAGTCCACGAAGCAGAATGGAGTCAGTAGTTTGAACTCAACTTTTTGCCTCCATTCTGTACCCACTTCCCCTGCCCTTTGATTCATTCCCTCCTTTCCACACAAATTAGCTTTGGAAAACTCACCAATCCTGTAATTCTGTACAACTTTTTTTTTTTTTAATGTTTGTTTATTTTTGAGAGAGAGAGACAGAGTGCAAATGGGAGAGGGGCAGAGAGAGAGGGAGACACAGAATCTGAAGCAGGTTCCAGGCTCTGAGCTGTCTGCACAGAGCCTGACGCAGGACTTGAACCCACGAACCATGAGATCATGACCTGAGCTGAAGTCGGATGCTTAACCAACTGAACCACCCAGGCACCATCTGTACAACTTTTTAGTATATGCGCTGCCGAAGTGAGCCCTCTACGACTTTTTTTTTTTTTTTTTTTTTTTTTTTTTTTTTTTTTTTTCCAACGTTTATTTATTTTTGGGACAGAGAGGGACAGAGCATGAACGGGGGAGGGGCAGAGAGAGAGGGAGACACAGAATTGGAAACAGGCTCCAGGCTCTGAGCCATCAGCCCAGAGCCTGACGCGGGGCTCGAACTCACGGACCGCGAGATCGTGACCTGGCTGAAGTCGGACGCTTAACCGACTGCGCCACCCAGGCGCCCCTCCACAATTTCTAATGATATATTTAGTGTTTGTTTTTGTCATCGTTGCCAGAGCTAAGCTCCAGGGACACAGGTGTCCATTCATTTTGTTCAGAAGTGTATGTTCTGCTCTGTGCCTGCCACATGTTAGGAACTCAGTATGTATTTGCAGAATGAGGGAACTAAGTTTTGTGCACATTAAAAACTCAGGGTTGCACCCTGGCTAGTGGCAAGACTTGAGTTTCTTAGTTCTGATGATGCGTTCTGGTTTTCTTTATACTTTCCTGATTCCCTTAGGGATCCATGAAAAACTTTACACCTTAAGAATAATATTTATTAAAAACCTTGACTCCTGTTTAAGATATGGTTACCGAGGAAAGGACTGCCGTGCTAATGTTTACCTTCTTCCTACCGGAGAAATAGTGTATTTCATAGCATCAGTAGTAGTACTGTTTAATTATGAGGAGAGAACTCAGCGACACTACCTGGGTCACACAGACTGTGTGAAATGGTTGGTATCATTTAATACTTGTGTTTTTCTTTGTCATTTTTGCATTTCTTTATAATTTGGGTTTTTCAGAAATGATTTCTTCTGGAGAGCTCAGATCTTAAGGATATTATGGGTATTGTGTAGATATATTTTAAAAAGCACTTTAATATGGGGAAGCGGTAGTGGAATCTTTTCTTAAGACAATTTTAATTGATACTATTCTGGAAAGGAATGAGCAGTACATAACAAGAGCAAAAAATTTACATTCTTAATAAGCTTACCCTTTGGTTGCAAGATATAGAAAGGAGTCTAAATATGGACAGGAAGACATCTTAAAAAAAAAAAAAAAAAACTTTGCTAGTCACTCGTATGTTGATCATGAGGAATGTGGGCATGTATGCTACACAGTTTTCAGTCTTAAAATTTTCATGCCCCAAATCTGACCTAAGGGTTCAGCATTAAGAGCTAATTAAAAGGTTGGAGGTACTATGTGAAGATGTTCATTGTGTTCCTTTGTAGAAAAGTAGAAATGGTAGAAGAGCTGTTAATAAGATGCATACGGATGATGTCACAAAAGGGGAATATGCTGATGTTGACACAGAGTTTGCACAGTGCACGACTGCACCTTCCCCGTAATAAAACCGTCTTGAGTATGCATGCCTATGTGCAGGACTAGAAAGGAGCTGGAACAGATGAAGACATTTTAACTTACCCTGTAATTGTGAATATGTGTTTTCTTCAAATTTAGGGCTCCATTAATTTGTTTAACAAAGAAAGAAAAAGTGCAGCCGAAAACTTAGGAAAAAACATCTTCTAGATGATTGATGTTTATTTGATTTGCTCAAGAAAACAGGTCACAATGAGAATTTTTTTAATGATTAAAAATGTTTGAAAATTGATAAATGTTAATATTATGGCATACTTTCGGCTACTTGAAATGTTTCCCATATTTAAAACTGTTGTTAATACTGCTTTTTAGCCTTGCTATACATCCTGACAAAATTAGGATCGCAACTGGACAGATTGCTGGAGTGGATAAAGATGGAAGGGTGAGTGGCATAGGGTTCTGCATGCTGTATCAGTGACATTGTCATTAGAATGGAGTTGATAGGAATTTTAACCGCAGCTCATTTATTTCATTCTTTTAAAATTTGGCAGCTAAGGGATTTCTAGTATAAGCAGGGAAAAAATAGTAGAATGTAAGAAGATTCCAAAAAACAGAATCATACTACTTAAATATTTTTCTCTAAAAATAAGTGTTCTCCCTAAGGAAACTATTTACTTGTAAAATTGGGAGGACTTGTAAGCTTGTTGATTTTTTTTTCTAACATAGCATAACTTATCATTGTTTGCTAGAAGGTACCGCATTTTCATTATGTTGATGGACCTCTTGACTTTATTTTTTTTTTTTTAATTTTTTTTTAACGTTTATTTATTTTTGAGACAGAGAGAGACAGAGCATGAATGGGGGAGGGTCAGAGAGAGGGAGACACAGAATCTGAAACAGGCTCCAGGCTCTAGGCTCTGAGCTGTCAGCACAGAGCCCGATGCAGGGCTCGAACCCACGGACCGCGAGATCATGACCTGAGCCGAAGTCGGCCCCTCAACCGACTGAGCCACCTAGGCGCCCCCCTCTTGACTTTATATATGACTAGAACTGATAACACTTTAAAAATGTCAGTTCCTATTCAGTATTATTAAATTGGCTTATATAACAAATCTCTTATTTGTAAGGATCAGCAATGAATATTATTGATGATTGATTAACATGTGTATGACTATACCCATGACATTCTCTGGCTTCAGTTTATTTAAAGAAAAGGAGTCAGAATGGTTATAATGGATGACTTCTAAGGCCCCTTCCAGTTCCAAATTCTATTTAAGAACTGTTTGGTTAGCTATGTATTGGACACTTACTAGAAAAAAAGTATTATTTTCCTAGAAATGAAGGTAATGTTAAAAGCAGAGTATCCAGAGCAAATTTGCCTTGGTTAGACTCCTAACTCCACCTTCTAATAGCTGTATAACTTTGGGCAAGTTATTCAGATCTAAGTTTCCTCATCTGTTAAATGGTAATTATAACAGTACATAGTTTATGGGATTAAATGAATCAGTACATGCGATGTACTTAGAATAGTGTATGACATAGTAAATACTGAATCATTTGCTGCTACTGTTATCACTGTTGTTATTTTCTTGTTTTCATGGTATGAGAAGAAAATATCTGCTCAAGATTCTTTGGGGTCATGTCTAAATGTAGTAGCTATTTTATATTAGATGTTTATCCAGACCCACTGCTTTTGAAAGATGGAATGCAGTTCTGTGTGATGGTAGTATTTACTTGCATCCACCTGAATACCAGTTAGTCTTGCTATTGTATTTTTCCCCTTGTTTTTGCAGCCTCTGCAACCCCATGTCAGAGTGTGGGATTCAGTTAGTTTATCCACTCTGCAAATTATTGGACTTGGGACCTTTGAGCGTGGAGTAGGATGCCTGGATTTTTCAAAAGCAGTAAGTAACAATTTTTAAGGAAGTAAGCAAGCTGCAGGAAAGAAGTCAAGCTCAATTTTGTGTCTGTGTCTGTGTTCATAGAAAGTGATAACTCTGAATTGTTAGCTGTTGCTTAGCAGTGGCCAGCATTTTAACCTAGGTACTAAAGTACTCTGGTTTAAGTGGGATACAGGTTGTTATACTTAATTATACTTTTGTTCTATTCTGAACTAGGATTCCAGTGTAATAGGAAATTGTTAGAGGAATATATGTATAGCATGGTCCAGTTGAAATAAGCAGTAAGATATGCTTTTGCTTCAGCTTGAATCATGGAAATCTTATTTTATTTAGAAAATTTACAGACATGAAAGCTGGCCAGTTCTCCTAGAAAAGAAGTTATTTACGTTTTATTTATCCTGTTTATCTGTGTTAATGTAAGTCAGGTATATCATGGAAAGCTAAATTGCTGTTTGAATAATACAAGTAACTATATAGTAAGTGGAAGTTAACCTTGGAAACAAGATTAAAAACAGGAAGTATTTTTAAAAAGAATCTTCATTATATTTCTGAAGAAAATACAGTCAGTAAATAGTATAATCATTTTATTTCAAGTTTATATCCTTTTCAAGTTTAAAGGGTTTGGGATTATATTAATGTTGCCAGTTTTAATAATACGGTATTTCTTCTTAGAAAGTCACCCTTATCTGAAAAGTTTTAAATGCCTTGAATGACTTTTCTTTAGGATTCAGGTGTTCATTTATGTGTTATTGATGACTCCAATGAGCATATGCTTACTGTTTGGGATTGGCAGAAAAAATCAAAGGGAGCAGAAATAAAGGTAAATCAAAATAAATTTTAATTGAGTATTATTTTTTAGAATACATTATTTTTTTTCAGATCCTTGGATGTATACTGCATATCCTTAAGTTGCAAGAGCATACCAGTTGGCCATATTCATTAGATTTATTGATTTGTCGTCATTTTATGGTATTAGGAATACCATTCTTAAAGTATTCTTTTTTTTTTTTAACAACACCTATTTATACTTTCTGTGATAGTTATCTATAGATTCTGAGATCAGTTCTTAAAGTATTCTTTTTTCTTTAATGTTTATTTATTTAGAGAGAGGGAGTGCTCAAGCAGGGGAGGAGCAGAGAGAGAGGGTAAGAGAGAATCCCAAGTAGGCTCCATGTTGTCAGTGCAGAGCCCGACGTGGGGCTCGATCCCACAAACGGTGAGATCATGACCTGAGCCAAAATCAATAGTTGGATGCTCAACCAACTGAGCCACCCAGGCACCCCAGTATTCTTTATTTTGAGAGAAAGAAAGACCAGGGGAGGGGCAGAGAGAGAGGGAGAGAGAGAATCTAAAGCAGGCTCTGCCATGACAGCACAGAGCCCAACGCAGGGCTTGAACTCACGAACCTTGAGATCATGAACCTGAGCCAAAACCAGGAGTCGATACTTAACTGACTGAGCCACCCAGGCACCCCAAAGTATTCTTAAGATAAAATAGTCAAGCAACTTCAACGAAATTTCAGTGATACTTCAGGCATATTGTGCTACTGAAATGCCAAAGTAGATGGATGTCTAATCTCAAAATTAACTCTGATTACACTATCTGGTTTCTCTTTAACAAAATTTGTCATTTATTCAGTCTTTAAAGCATTAAAAATCTAAAGGAAAAATTCATCCTTTGGAATATAACTGACATAACCGAAAAGCATATGTAAGGATAAGTTTTTTGGTTTTAATACATGTATGGGATTATTACATAAACTGCTATAGTATTTATAATTGCTATGGAATAGGGTTGATCCCTTTGTGTGGATCTGGCTATAACTTGTAAGAGAAGAATATAAGGTTAATGCTGCAAATATGGGTCGAAATGGCCTCCTTCTGACAGGCTTTCAGAGGGATTCAGAGTGACAGGATGACTAAAAAAAGCCTATGACATATTTGCTGTACTCTTAAATAACATCACATTCCTTTTTAGTTGAGCACTCTCTCTCTCAGCAGTTTTGTTTGGTATAAGCTAAAGCTTTCAGCTTGTTGGCCAAAAAGAGATTCTTTTAAATAGTGTGAGTTAATCTTTTGAAAAAAATAGAGTAGATTTGATTTTAATTGAAAAGAATATAACATGTCCAGAAACCTCAAACCTTGAAAACCATAAATGAAGATATAGATTGTCTTTCAGCCATAATTTAGAGTAATTTAACATTGAAACATAAGGATGTTATACCGAAGTAAAATGTGTGCGTTTGATCCTTTGTAGTAAAGGCTATCAGATGATGTCTTGTGGTTTTCCTCCTACTGGCCACTCTGTGTTCTCCTTTCCAAGACCTTAAATGTTGGTATTCTTCAGAGTTGTATCCTGTGTCCTCCACTGGTATCATGTATTCTCTCGTGGCCTTAGTTACTGTCTACTGTGTCCCCGATCAGTTAACTCTAGCCCAGATCTCTCTCATTTATTTGAGTGTCCTGTCCTGCAAGTCAAAATCAACATGTCCCAATGTGCACCAGTCATCCCCCTTAGACCCCAAACAGTTTTCGCCTCTCTGTGATTAACACCACATTCCAGCTACTTGTGCAAGCTAGAAACTCTTTCCCCTTGCCTCTCACACTGAAGTTCCCTAAGGTCTGTCCCAGATGTCTGTATTAGAGCTCTTTTCAGTGCACGTGACTGAAAAACAACTAAAGATAACTTAAAGAGAATTTATTCATGTTTAGGGAGAAAAAGAAAACCTCTAATAAAAGTCAGAGGGGAATTTTATCTCAGGAATGACTTGATTCAGGGACCGGATCACTGACTCTCTTGTCTCTCCTCTTTCCCCTGTGTGTTGACCTTATTCTCTTCCACTGTAGGTAAACTCTATTTTTGTTAAGTCACAAAAATTTGGGAACTGGTACATACCTAGTTAATTTATAGACGTTTGAAATTCAATAAGGCAACTTCAAAACCTTATTGACAGAAACTAAGGAAGACCTAAATAAATGGAGGAATATATAATAATCGTGGATAGAATATACAATAATTGTGGATATACAAATTGTTACTTCTCTGCATATTGATCTGTACTTTTTAAAAATTTATTTCTGATCTGTACTTTCCCTTTTTTTAATTTTTTAAACATTTTAACATTTTTTTAACATTTAGTCATTTTTTGAGAGACAGAGAGAAACAGCTCAAGCAGGGGTGGGGCAGAGAGAGAGGGAAACACAGAATCCGAAGCAGGCTCCAGGCTCTGAGCTGTCAGCACAGAGCCCGACACGGAGCTCGAACTCATGAGCTGTGAGATCATGACCTGAGCCGAAGTCAGACCCTTAACCGACTGAGCCACCCAGGTGCCCCGATCTGTACTTTCAACATAGTCAAAATCTCAGCATGATTTTCATGGATGTTGACAAGCTAAGTGTATGTGGAAATATGAAGGGATGAGAGTGGACAAAAAAAACTAAAGTTGATGAGGGTGTAAATTAACCGGAACTCGCATACACTCCTGTATGTTGGACATAGAAATTAACACAGCCATTTTGGAAAACTGTTTGGCATTACCTTCTAAGTTTGAACATACACATGTGCATACCCTCTACCATCCTGTTCCACTCCTTGGTATAAATCCAACAGAAGTATATACATGTGTTGACCAAAAGACAAGTAATCAAAAATAATGGTAGCAAAAAACAAAAAAAAAGGAAGTTACCCAAATGCCAGTTAGTAGGAGGATGGATAAATCAATAACGTGGTCTTTACATATAAAAGAATACAATACAGTAATGAGGAGGAAAAAATTACAATATATGCACCAATATGAAGTAAATCTCATGAATGTAATGTAGATAAAATAGGGCCAGACACAAAGGAGTATATTCTGTGTGATTCCATTTAAATAAAGCAAAGTAATCTGTGCTGCCACAAATCAGGATCATAGCTGCTTGAACAGAGGGAGGGGATAGTGTCCCCTTTTCTAAAGGGATCTAAGGTGTTTGTGCGATGTTAGTAATAATGTTCTTTTTCTTCTATGCAGAGATGTGTTCGATTTGTGAAAATTTATCAAGCTAGGCACTTAGGATTTGTGTACTTTGTGTGTGTGTGTGTGTGTGTGTGTGTGTGTGTGTGTGTGTGTGTGTGTATAAAATATACAACAATAAAAATCCAAGTAAAATATTCTATTATGCTACACTCATACCCAAAGTGATTTAATTTCATAGATTATTTCAAATCATGTCTTGATATCTTACCACTAGCATTATGGGTTTGTATACTGGAAATATTTGTAGTTAGCTTTATAACCATCAGTTAATCCATTTGGCATGAGATTCAACTGTCAAGTAGTTTTTATTTTATCCAAGTGAAAACTAAGGGCTGTTTAATTATTAAAATGCAGGGGCGCCTGGGTGGCTAAGTCAGTTGAGCGCCTGACTTCAGCTCAGGTCATAATCTCAGTTTGTGGGTTTGAGCCCTGTGTCGGGCTCTGTGCTGACAGCTCAGAGCCTAGAGCCTACTTCAGAATCTGTGTCTCCCTCTCTCTCTCTGCTCCTCCCCTGCTCACACTCCCTCTCAAAAAACTAAGTAAAAACATTAAAAAAAGGAAAAAAAAATACATATATATAAAACCTCTGGGCGCCTGGGTGGCCTAGTTGGTTAAGCGTCCAACTTCAGCTCAGATCGTGGTCTCATGGTTTGTGGGTTCAAGCCCCACATCAGGCTCTCTGCTGTCAGCACAGAGCCTGCTTCAGATCTTCTGTTTCCCCCTCTTTCTCTCTCGCTCTCGCTTGCTCGCTCTCTCTCTGCCCCTCCCCCACACTTGTTCACTCGTTCTCTCTCTCAAAAATTAACATTAAAAACAATTTTTTAAGTGTCCTCAATTCAGTAATTTTGTGAAAACACTACATTTGTAATTCCTTTGTGACTCTCATGCCTGTTTTCTTCCTTTTTCACTCCAGTTCTTTTAAATCTTGTCCTTTCTAGAAAGAGCATAAAAATTCTTTCTTTTTTGTTTTTTCATTTCTATAGGAATCTGTAGTGACTATTCTGTGTCTACTTTTTAAGCCTTCAACCTCATGACGAATCTCTAAATCAGTAATATTTTCTTGAATGGTCAATAATAATAGTATAAAGAAAGATAAGACTTTTTTTTTTAATCAGAATGGCAATCTGTCTTTTTTTTTTTTTTTTAATTTTTTTTTTCAACGTTTATTTATTTTTGGGACAGAGAGAGACAGAGCATGAACGGGGGAGGGGCAGAGAGAGAGGGAGACACAGAATCGGAAACAGGCTCCAGGCTCTGAGCCATCAGCCCAGAGCCCGACGCGGGGCTCGAACTCACGGACCGCGAGATCGTGACCTGGCTGAAGTCGGACGCTTAACCGACTGCGCCACCCAGGCGCCCCGGCAATCTGTCTTTAAGATAGAATGTACATGGCTCTTGATTTGCTACTATTATTATACTTTTCCCTGAATGTGCAGGAAATTAAAATAATCTAAAACTAATTCATATGTCTTCCTAATGTAGAGTTATTATATATAAATAGCATAAAAGATGATACACTAGTGTGAGGACATCAAATTTAAATCATTATTCTAAAAATCTATTAAAATTTTTCAGGAAAATTGATCTTAATAGAAAAGGCATTATCTCAAAATGTTTCCTAGTCTTCAATTGTCAGTAGCTATAATTGGTACTTGCTGGAGATAAGGATATACACTTCATCTAAAGCTTTATTTCTTATCCACAGACAACAAATGAAGTTGTTTTGGCTGTGGAATTCCATCCGACAGACGCAAATACCATCATAACATGTGGTAAATCTCATATTTTTTTCTGGACCTGGAGTGGTAATTCACTAACAAGAAAACAGGGAATTTTTGGGGTAAGGATCAGAATGTTAAAATTTCATTATAAAACTTTTAATTTTTATTGTTTAGTAAACATAGTCATCATGCCAAAGGAAAAACTGAAAATTCTCATTGTTTCATTGTAGAAATATGAAAAACCAAAATTTGTGCAGTGTTTAGCATTCTTGGGAAACGGAGATGTTCTTACTGGTGACTCAGGTGGAGTCATACTTATATGGAGCAAAACTACTGTAGAACCGACACCAGGGAAAGGGCCTAAAGGTACAGTATTCTCACACTGAAATCCTCACTTTTAATGTGTACGTCTTGCTGTTGTAGGCCGGCTCTTACTCAAACCAGGAGAGTCATCAACATGCATTTTGTTTTTAACGTTTTTCATGATCTGTTTTTTAAAGTTAAATTGTTTACACAGCTATTCATGACTGTATATAACCTACGTTTGACTATATTGAACCTTTCCTTCTAGGAGGTTAATACAAAGTAATTAGAAATGATAAAGATATATACTAATTTAAAGAGTACAAAGATTGAGAGAGAAATCATCCTGATCTTTAGTGTTTTGTGAAGGCTTCACAGAAGAAATGGTATTTAAGTTAAGCCATAATGATACAAAACTTCAAAAGATATGGAACATTGATCCCAGTTTAGGGAAACAGTGCAAGCAGAGGCAGAAAGATGGATATGAATGTGAGGCATCCAGGATAATGTGAATAAGTTTGTCGTGTACAAGTGTTAACAAAGATGAGAAATAGCCAACTTGAGGGAAATTTGATTTTTTTTAATTGTTTTTTTTACATTTCCTTTTTTTTGAGAGAGAAAGAGCACAAGTGGGGGTGGGGCAGAGAGAGAGGGAGACACAGAATCCATAGCAGGCTCCAGGCTCCAGGCTCCGAGGTGTCAGCACAGAGCCCAACATGGGGCTTGAACTCACAAACCGTGATCATGACCTGAGCCGAAGTTGGATGCTCAACTGACTGAGCCACCCAGGCACCCCGAAGGAAATTTGATTTTAAAAAAGAGTAGTGTTTTATAATTCCTACTATCAGTTTAATTAATACAGTCTGAGTAATTAAAAATTTAAGTAAGGATTAAGGTACAGATTTTTTTGTAACCAAAGAAGAATCCTTAAAACTGGTTGAGTTGACCATGAAAGACGAGTTGTGAGGCTGATGGTCTTTATCCCCCAGTTAGATACCAGAAAAGACCCTGGTGAGAAATAAGATGTAAAAAGAAAAAAGTTGGGGCACGTGGGTGGCTCAGTCAGTTAAGCATCCGACTTCGGCTCAGGTCATTATCTCACAGTTTGTGGGTTTGATCCCTGGCATCGGGTTCTGTGCTGATGGCTTGGAGCTTGGGGCCTGCTTCAGATTCTGTGTCTCCTTCTCTCTCTGCCCCTCCCCGACTTGTGCTATGTCTCTGTCTCTCAAAAATAAATAAATATAAAAAAAAAATTAAAAAAAGAAAAAGTTAACAAGATAGAACTGTTTATTTAGTGCCCCCAAAGAAGGGAGGAGTTTCTAGGAGTATCAGTGCTATCAAGAATCAAAACTAAGAAACAACCATTAGTGGTTTACAGTATCAACAGAACTTAGATTAAGGCCCCAAAACAGCTAAGTATAGAATGGATAGTTTGAAAATGGAGAATTTTGAGAATCCAAGGTGAAAATGGAATGGGAAGTAAAGAGTTACTGAGTCAGTCAGTAGTCTTTTGAAGGGTGCCTAAAACCTGAAGTAAAATGGGAATTGCCAGTGACAAGGAGGAAACTAAAACTCTTAGAGACAGGAGAATACCTGGATTAGGTATAGGAGGAAGAATTATCCTTGAAAAAGAGCAAGAGCTTCCATTCATTCTGAGACTGGAGCTTTAGAAGCTGAGATATTCTATGTGGGTAAATGGGGGGTGGGGGGGGGTCATGCAGGATGACATTGCTCTCAGTAAAGGTGACTTTGTTAAAGACTTGACGTTTTTAAAGGGACAGTGTGAGCAGAGGAGAGGCAGAGAGAGAAGGGGAGAGAGAATCCCAAGCAGGCCCTACATTGTCAGTACATGCCCAGTCCCATGAAGCCACAAGGTCATGACCTGAGTCAGAACCAAGAGTCGGACACTTAACCAGCTGAGCCATCCAGGCACCCCTGAGGTTTCTGTTTTTAATGGATACAAAAAGAACAATAGTAATGTCATGTAAAGTATCAATAGTCAGACTCCATTACTTCAGAGTTCTATTTGTTGGAATTGAGATCCAGCTAAAACCTTTGTCTTTTCTGTGGATAGTAGATTTACTATAACAAATAATAATAAAACCAAAACCCTGTGAACTTAGAGATATTATTTTCTAAACAATTAGTGATTAAAACTATCCTTATCAACTCTTGAAAGGCTGTTTCCAAAGATCTTAACAGCTCATGACTAGCAGCTCTTTATAGTGTAGTAATAAAGAATGATTGTCCCAATTACTACATTTGTGGCACATTTCCTACCTTTCTCCTCTGCTTTTGTCAACATAGCAACAGACTAGAGGGTTCAGTCTCCCTTGCGCTGGGTCCTGTGAGGGTAGTGTGTATGGCCATGTTAATCAAAAAGAATGAAATCTTGCCATTTGCAACTACCTGGATAGAACTAGATGGTATTATGCTAAGCGAAATTAGAGAAAGACAAATATCATATGACTTCACTTATATAAGGACTTTAAGATACAAGACAGATGAACATAAGGGAAGGGAAGCAAAAATAATATAAAAATGGGGACAAAACATAAGACACTCTTAAATATGGAGAACAAACAGGGTTAGTGGTGGAGTTGTGGGAGGAGGAATGGGCTAAATGGGTAAGGAGCATTAAGGGATCTACTCCTGAAATCATTGTTACACTATATGATAACTACTTGAATGTAAATTTTAAAAACTAATAAATTTTTTAAAAACTTGAAAAAAAATTAAAAATACCATAAAAAAAAAAAAAAAACAAAGAAAGAAACAGGGACATCTGGGTGGCTCAGTTGGTTAAGCGTCCAACTTCGGCTCAGGTCATGATCTCACAGCTTGTGAGTTCAAGCCCCACATCAGGCTCTGTGCTGATAGCTTGGAGCCTGGAACCTGCTTTGGATTCTGTGTCTCCCTCTCTCTCTGCCCCTCCCCCTGCTCATGCTCTCTCTCTGTCTCTCAAAAATAAATATAAATGTTTAAAAAAAATTTTTTTTTTAATATACATGGCCATATTATAAAATGGGAGGGGGGGAGAATAAACTCATAGTTTGGTCCCCTTCTTTTTCTCACTACAGCCCCTCTTCCCAGCCCCCATAATGGGCTTTGGCATTTCTTTAGCTTTACCTCAAATTGATTTTTCTCAGAAATAAAGATAAATTTTTAAGCCCCATTTGTACCACGTAAGTCCACTTTGCCCTTTTCTCTGGTAGGTGAAAAAAATTACAAGAGCAACATTGAAAATAACCTTTTTCAACACCCCCCCCCTTTTTTTTTTTACTATTAAGAAAAAGCTGAAAAAATATCCAGACTATCATGCTTCCTTCAGAGTAGAAGTTTATAAGAAAAATTAGAGATGTTGTTCTAAAATCAGTGGGCTGGGAGCAGAGAGAGATTATTTATTAGCAGTAACAGGTGGTAACCGCAGAAAGAAAACTAGCTATACCAATCAGAGTCTGAGAATCCACAAGAAGAGAGGTAGGGGTTGACAGGGAACCAACTTGGGGTGCCTGAGACATTTCCCCTGCGGATTGGGAGAGCAGCATGCCCTGGTTTCTCTTATTCATCCCCCTCACCTTAAACACGCTGAAACAACTTCCCTTTGTCTCTCTGGAGTCTCTGCATCAGACCGTGGAAATCACCACAAATAACGTAGGAATAAGGGGATCCTTGTTTCTCTGCTCAGAAGGAAAGTCCTAATTTACATGTCTGTCTTCCCTAATAAGTCTGACTTTCCCAGGATTCAGATAATGTCTGGCAGCTGTTACTACCTGTTTGAAAAGTATTTGTTAAACATTTTATTAAGGAAATGACTTTACTCTTACCTTTGGGTGTTAGTGTAGGAATAAAAGTTGAGTGGTACAGCTGAAAGCACTGTTTTCATGGAAAAGGGGAATTTGACTATAGCACTGCAGATTTCTATGATTGCGCAGATTTTAAACTATATTTTTTTGGAGATGTACTACAGTAGTGTTCTCCATATTCATTCAACTGAATTTCTAAGTTTGGCAGGTGACTTGGATAGTTGTCAGTCCTTAAATTTTACTACCAGTGATCCAGATCTCAATCATTGGCCATGCATTCTTTAGCTTGTTTTGTCCAATTCAGGTTTAAAACTCACAATAAGGATAGCAGTGGATTACGGATTCTTAAGAAAAAAGAATGGTAGGCGGGGGCACCTGGGCGGTTTCCATAGGTTAAGTGCCCAACTCTTGATTTTGGCTCAGGTCATGATCTCAGGGTTGAGTTCGAGCCCTGTGACCAGCTTCGCACTGACAGCACAGAGTCTGCTTGGGATTCTCTCTCTCTGCCCCTACCCTGCTCACGTGTGCGCAAGCATGCTCTCTCTCGCAAACTTTAAAGAAAAAAAAAGAACAGTGATATTAATCAACTACCTTTCCCACTTATCTCTGATTTCTTTTTCCTGGGCACATTTGTTCAGTATTAGAAATGCAAGGAACAGCAGTGTCTACCAAAACAGTGACATGTTATCCTCTGACACTAAGCAGAATTTGGGTATAAATGTACCCTTCATTAGCCTTAATGTGTGTTGAAGTGGGAGGCAGGGATAGGTTGTTTTTATTTTGGTTTTTGTCTAAAAAACTTGTGGCTTGGGCTTTTTTCCAAAAATCTGCATGTGAACATACAGGAAACAGGAAATCTAATCTTTGTAAATTGCTGGGCATATAAAATGGACTATGTTGTCCTCTGCCATATGACTGATCCCGTTATGGGCAAACTTGTTGAGAATTTTGTTCCTTCCTTTACATTTGAGGGTTTCAGTTCTGTTAGTATGGCTAGGAAGGATTTGATGAGTGCAATGAACACTCAAAGTTTCCATTTTTAAATTCTTGCCAAAAATTTCAGTAGATTGATCCATTTTGCATATTCCCTAATATGACGTTTCTGCATCCGTGGCAGTCTTTTCAACCAGATCTGAGTGTACTATGGTAACGTGTCTGATAAAGAGACATTCATCCCTTTATTTTGGATGGTGGAAGTATAATTCCATAGCTAATTTTTTACTCTACTAATAGCAAACAAACCAAAACTGTATTTAT